TTTTTTTTTTTTTTTTGAATGTCCAGAGGACCAGATTGAACTTTTTTAAACATTTAAATAATTAACAGGAGTGGATTCATTTATACCAACAAAATCCTCCTGTTGTAGCCAAGTTTCTGTCAGACACAATAAATCAATATGATGATCAGTTATCAGTTCATTAACTAACAGGGATTTAGAGGAAACAGATCTGATGTTCAACAATCCACATTTAATGATTTGATGATTTTGCTCTGGTAAAGTAACTGTGTTTATTTTAATCAGGTTTTCATGGTTTATATTTTTAGAGCTGATCAATCTCAATCTCTCTCTCCCTCCACCCCCACGTCTCACACTGTCAATCATTGTCTCTAAGCTCCTGAGACACTCTGTCCTCAGCTTCCTGAGACAACTGGAGCTTCCTGTGCTCCATGTTCAGTGTGTTACACAACCTGATACCAAACAGCTCTGTGACTACCTGTCACCCTTTAAACAGACTGAAGACACCTGAGATGCTGATTACAGGAGACACTCTGATTGGACATGTCCCTGTGGACAGATAAGGTCTGTTTTCTTGAGAAGAACCAACTTTTTATGATTAGTTTGTTTTTTTAATTCTGTTACAGCAGAGATCAAATGATTTTCATGTATTTTGTTGTGAATTTTTCCTGGTGGAGCAGTGGTTAGAGCAGTCGCCTCACAGCAAGATGGTTGCAGGTTCTCCTCCCAGTAGTTTACATGTTCTCTCTGTGGGTTTTCTCAGAGGTCATGCCAAAGCACGACGTCATCTTCGGCAGGACGACAGCTCAGTGGTTAGTGTTGACTCACAGCAAGAAGGTCCTGGATTCAATCCCCAGTTGGACCTGGGCTCTTTCTGGGTGGAGTTTGCATGTCCTTTTCGTGCTTGCGTGGATTTTCTCCTGGTACTGCGGTTTCCTCCAACAGACCAAAAACATGCATGTTAGTCTGCCTTCAGGCCCAGACCCCCCTCGTTAAACAGATCTGTGATCTCACTGGAAAGCGTTTGGTTAAATAACTAAAACCAGCACGTTGGGCTCACTGGGCACACTTTCTAGACCCGTCCAGGTGTCACTGAGATGGACCGGAGACTCGTCCAGGTGTCACTGAGATGGACCGGAGACTCGTCCAGGTGTCACTGAGATGGACCAGAGACCCGTCCACGTGTCACTGTGATGGACCAGAGACCCGTCCACGT